CATTTTGCCCACCCCTGCCATAACATGTACCAGAAAGCAGCTACTAGCGAGCAGAAGAGTCCAAGAAAGGCTTTTAATTTCTACTGCTGCGGGCCTGCACATTGTGGTAGCGCATCTAGCTAGGTCCTTGGAAGCAACAACAGCCATGAATGTACACTAAGTAATGAGAATGAAAAGGGCTGAAGGAGACCCGAGATACCTTTGCTATAAATGGTAATGTACTAATTTGGTTTCCCACATCCGGCAGTGCTAAGAACTGACTAGACAATACAGCTCACCCAGCCAAGGCCCAAAACGAGGACGTAGTACATAGCAAAGTTCCCATCTGAGAGACACAAAAAGACTATTCACCTGGAGAACTTAGCACGTGGTGAGATTCATTATTTTATTGTCAACGAGTCTTTCTACAACCTCCGCTCCATGACTTGTTTTGAATGGTACTTATTTTCTACTGTCAAGTTGAGGGAACAGCAATTTTCAGTGGACTACGGGTGAGATTCTGACCAAAATGAATAGTGTCCTGCGAAGGAAGGGACACTCTCGGAGGGAGGGTGACTGGTCTAAACTTTTAAAATTAACTTTTGGATGATTAAGATGATTGGGTGGTAATAGAGCTGTCCTCTCCTTTAAAAAAATGGCAGCTAAAAGGCAGCAAGAAAGCAGGGACCAAAAGATGGGATATTTCCCAACCCTGTAAACATTTCTGTTGTTTATTCACTTAAAACCTGAACAGGTTTAACCTGACCTCTGTCTGTGTATATGACAAGCATTAGACCAGGATCTTATCAGCATGTGCTGCAAATCTAACAGCCCCTGGGGAAATGCAAGCGAGAGGCCTTTTTGAGAATTTCTGGGGAGGTGGAAAACACTGCACAAGAGGCTGCTTCTGGACTGAGATAAGAGAGCTCTTGACATGCTAACAGAGCAGACCCTGTAACTCTCCCCACTGATTGGTACTCTGATTGCATAATCAAAGTGCCAAAGCCACAGTAGCATCTACATTTGAATCTGGTTTATGAAACAAACCGCAGTAACTAAACAAAAATGTTCTGTCTGGAACTGGCAGTAATAAAATCCTAGGCAAATACTAGCTAATGCTGAAGCCTTGCATTCTGTCAGAGTCACTTTTTTACTAGTTAGCTACAGACACAGACACCTATTTACAGCAAGTTATAATAAGTATTTCTGGGCAGTAATCTTGGAATCTAAGCTGAATACCAAATTTCAGACACCCTTCTCCTCTCGTCCCTGCAAATGCCATCCATGCACAGCAGACTGCTTGGAGTGGAATTTTTCAGGACACATCTCTGGTCAGCAGCCATACTGTGGACAATACCACAAAGTAATTTTTTGCAAAAACAGTCTAGAGAACAACTATGCCATTCAGGGTGAACGATGTGAATCACCAGGCTTACCCCATTTCACATGACTGCAGCACGGACAGATTCCTGTAAAACTTTTACTGCTCAAAACATCATCTTTTTTTTTTTTTTTTTTTTAATTTAATGTCAACAAGCTTCTAGGAACTGCTCAAAAGAATTTTAGTATGAGAAATACCGCTCTCGTTTTGGGAGGAAAATTCCCTTGGAAAAAGGTTTTAGATGTTGGTAACTAGGCAGGGTCTCCAGCAGAAGGGATAATGTTTGGACAGCAAAGGAAGGTTTCACAGGAAAAAGAGACTTCTGGCAACACCTATCAGCTGGAAATATGACACGACACTTTACTGAAGAGGGGAAAAAAAAACAACCCTTTGCTATGAATAGTCTCATTTCCCTCTGAGCAGCCACAGTTGCTGCTGCATCCAAAGCAAACTGTCTCATCACGCTTTCCTCAAGGTATTTCTGTTCCCATTTAGTCATGTCGGCTTCCAAAGCGAGAATTCGTTCCTCTTTTTCACGCAGGAGTTCCATAAGTGCTGCTGCATTATACTCTGAGACGTTGGCTGTCTGAGATGTGCCTTGACGCTGATTTTTTTTTTTTTTTTCAAAGAAAAAAATGCATTAGGATAGATTTTTGGAAGAGGTGTTTTCCAAGGAAGAATGAGGAACCATTGCTCCAGGTTACTCATTAGCTTGATGCAGGAACCACACTGCCTTGCACACTGACTAAAATTTTACCGACTAGCTTATGATAAGGATAATGGCCTTAAATCTATGCAAGTTAGCTTAGTACTACTAAAGTCAATGAAAACATGCTGATCTACCCCAGTAAGAGAGACTTCTGTTTTATAAACACAGACTGAGCACCAACCCAAACCAAACTCTGCTACTGGCAAAAAGAGCTTAATTGACAGCATATATTGGGGAATGTTTTCCGGCACTCTTCTGAAATGGATCAACCCCAAAAAGCTAATGTCTGAAATGAAAATATTGTATAATACTTATATCCACATCCAACCACACACATTTACTCTGGAGAGTTCTATCCTGCAACTTGGATGGGCTAATTCTAACAATGCTCCACATTCACACTAATGCAATCCCATTCATTTTCAAAGGAGTTACACCAGAGTATGCAAGTTGATAATGGAGCCACAGAAGTTTAACAGCCATGCCCTGCTGTCAAACTCTTGTGACATGTTTGACCATGTAACATGGATGAGAGCAAACCAGGTTAAACAAATGCTTTTGCTGTTATTGAGCTGAATTCCCATAACAGCTCCAGTCATAAGATGCAGCATGTGATATTATTTGGTTCCTATATGAAGGAACAGAACTGCTGAGATAAAGGAAGCTTGGTTGGTAATTTAACAAAATGGTGATTGGCAGTACTGTCTCAGGGGCAAATAGGCTATAAAAGAGAAGAAAACTAGAGTTAAATAATGTACAAGACCCTGCCCTCCAATGGATGTATAGCAAAACTGATCCACGGCATTAGAAAAATGGCCTCACAGGGTGCCGCACAACATTAGGTCTCTTAGATGTGCAAATATCTACACATGATTTACAAGATAAACCCAGAGATTTCAAATAGGAATCTACAATGTCAAAAACATTCTGATCCGTCATGGTCTTCCTAATTCTCTGCAACAGAAAAACTGCTCTATTATTCTTCTGCAGTCAAAAAAAACAAGTGAAAATTCAAGGCAGGCATTTTCTAATGAGTGCCTTGAGTCTAACAAGGGCTGCCTGGAATATAACAAGGCTGAGAACCACTATCCTAAAACCTAACAGAGGAATAGCAGAAAATACAAAAAAGTTGTCTCTGATTTGCTGTTCAACAAATTCAAAGGACAATATACAAACTGTTATGTGGAGATCTGCTCAAAGATTGGCAGGACCTTTTTCCCTAAGGAGCTAGTTAGGAGAAGGTCATTTACAAGGAATGAAGCAAAATGAATCTATGTTTGGCTCAGGATTGACATTATCATGTAAAGCAATATATTTCACGCTTTCTGTTTTAAGAGACATTCTCTGGTTTAAAGCCAAAAACTAAGTTGTCAGAGCTTTTAACCTCTTAAAGGCTGAGTAAAACTCATTAACAAATTGTGTCAAATAAATGCATCTTTTGTATTGGGAGGAATTTTTAAACAATGCTTATTTTAAACCCAATGTAGATTTTTTATATATATTCTACTGTCTTTCAAGACCAGTTTCTTGAATAATAACTTTATTTCATTTTTCATATACTTTATTTAATTTTAACTTTATTCACTCTCTTATTAAAGCAGGCACAACACTTGCATGCTATATGAATACAAGTAAAGCATGGAAGTAGCTTATTGTTTTAATTTACTGTGTATTTGGCAGCATGTTTCAGTCAATTGCATTTTTAAAAGTCATATGAAACAGCCAAAAAAAAGTTAACTGAAAAACAGAAATTATTATGTTACAATAATTTGTTCTTTTAGCATGCTTACAGCATGACTACATTTTATGTTTTTAACTTGTTCGCTAATGTAGTTATGAAGGCTAGTATAGACAGCACAAACATTTTGTTCTGGGGTTTAAACATTTTTTTCTAGTGGTGTATCACAGCTGAGGACTAAACACAACTTGGAACTATTTACACCAGAACTTTCAATGTGATTAGTCAACATATGTTAGCATATGTTGACACATGACTAAAAATCCAATTCATACCACCACAAGAGAGCCTGCCTTTTCTTCTATACATTAGAAGAGGGGGGAAGTACTAGTTCCAATACTTGGAACACATTCCAAGTTGATACAAGTTTCTATCATGTGCATTTATGGTATTGTACAAGCTACAAGCATTTCAAAAAGCTCTCTCTTCAGACCAGTGCTTGAGATTATCTAAACAGATGTGACCATCTACCAAATCCTGCGTGTCTTAAATTCCAGCAAATTAAGATGCAGGAACACAGAAAGGGACAGAACACTTTCTGGACATTGTGGATAGGCCTGCTCTCTCCCATGTGATGAATCTGCTCATATTCTATAATTAAAAAAATGTCTGGATAGAATGGAAAGGTTTTGGATAGAGTATATTTAACTGAGTGAAAACAATACAAACCTAGCAAGATAATGGCACTGCTGCATGTTCTGTGCATGATTTGATGGGAAAAGCATGCAAGAAACACATTTCTTATTAGAAAGTGCCCAGGGCAGATAGATCCCAGTTACCTGCTGCATCCGGAGAGATTCCAGCTCTCTCTCCAGGCGAGTTCGGAGCCGGTGTTCCAGCTGCTCCCGTTTTTCACAAGCTGCCTGCAGCTGCACCAAAGCCTGCTGCATCTTCTCCACCTTCTCCACATAAACTTGCTTCTTTTTCAGCTGAAACAAAGGAAAGGAAAGAATGGATCATAACTTATGTGCTGAAAATAAGTGACTTTTTCTATTGCACGCATCAAAAGTGTCACAAGTAATGCTCTGTTGGTCATGAAACTGAAATTCCAAATCAAGGCTTTGGACTAGTGCAAAACTTTCCACACCTGCTCTCCACTCTTCCTCTTTCTCTCCTCGTCAATCCTACTTAGGCTCTAGCCAGGTGCTATATGTCTTCCCTACCCCACTGTTATAATAGTTGACAATTCACCATTGCTACTGAAGGTATCTTCACAATCTCCTTCAGAGGTAGGAAAGGTGCTGAGGCACGAAGAAAGTTAAGTAACTAGGCCTAATGTCATATTAAGAGCCAAGAATTCAAGTTGGTCAAAAAAATTCAAATTTGCAAAGTTTTCTGATGAGCTTTAGCGGGAATAGAACCAAGAATTCCTTCCAGTCCCATTCTATAACGATAGGAGCAAATGACATTATAAAGAGGTTAAGGTCTTGTGCTCTCTCCATGTTTCAGCCAAGAACTCCTCCCGCCCAGTAGCTGCTGTGTGGGGTTCTGTGCATGGTCTGTTGGGTCAGCGTGACCAGGAAATTTCCATTCTCTGCTTAAATCTTGCCTTCTCCACCAAGAATCAAGCTAGCAAACTAAAAACTTGATCGATAATACACCCTGAAAACTACCAAGCTGGTAGACTCATCAGTAAAGCTACATTTTGCTATATGGCAGTCACAGTGATCCAAGACAGCATGAATCTGAATAAACTCTACTAATAGTAATCATACAAAGGGAAGTGGGGAGAGTATTGCATCTAACTTGGTTGATTCTTTATAGATTTTTTTTTTTTTAAAGCATGTCCTGGCATGTACATATATATGTCAGATGAAATCATTGGGTGTCTCACTTGGTAAAGGGTGCTGTTGTACCATTCAAGTCTGCAACAAGTATGCACATGTAATAAGGCAGCTCAGCCAATGAGATCAGTAGAAGAGGAAGTAATTGAGTAATTGCCACTGTATTGAAAAGATACAAAATGGCCACATTGTATGCAAGGGAAGTGGCAAATAAAAATGTTAAGCAGAGACAACAGTGCATTTGACAGAAGCAGCGAGGTGACGATTTAGGTTGCATATGATATTCCCATGGATTTCAAACCAAACCAATCCATGACAAACATCTTGAGAGTCCTTTGCAGAAATGGGAGCCGGGAGGAGCTGAATCACCAGTAGAAAAGCCAAGTACAAAAATAAGCTATTTTCCGTGAGGACAGAAGAACAAACTTCTTAAGAAGAGAAGTTTAGAAACCTGGAGAGGCGTTTTGTACTGCTAATGCTCCACTTCACATCAAAGACAACCCCACTAGGAAAAGCTATTTGGAAAGCTCTTTCAAAAACATTTGTGTCATACCTTGTTTGGATCAACTGAGGAAAATCTACTTACCAAAGCTTTTCTGAAAGTCCTGTAAATGACCTGAAAGAACTGCTGAAAGACTGTCTTGGGCTCTGTAATACTGCTGACAAGACAACAAATTCTGCAGGCTGCCCTGCTCTAAATATTTTAGCAATGTCATTTTCTTTACAAACACTTGTGGGGCTATGGGAGAGGTGTCTGTAAGCAAAGTCCATTCTAACAGAGCGTGTGCACTTAGACTGCAAACTTCAAAACACCGAGTCAGACAGTGGTGATAACGGAGAAATTATAATATCTGTATACATGAGAAAAAAATTAGGAATGATTGCTACTGCTTCCGAGCACGTGGCTGGCATGATGCATTTGCTCAACACAGCCCGTGATATCCGGAGAAAAGCAGTTTTACATAATAATAGGCTTGGAGTAAAATGAGCCTCTATTGTCTGCTCTACTCGCAAGGCCCAGTTTTGTCAATGCCTCCAGGAAAATAGGAAAGTGCCTGCAATACCCCTTTCACTGGCAATGACAAGGTGGAGCAACTGGTTTGAAGGTGTCCACTGTTATAGGCCAGCCACCTCAGGGGTTAAGTGGAAATTCTGAAGAGCATGAGCAAAGTTGTAGATCCACAGTGTCCTTTTGTGTGGACCATTAGAAATACATGTAGATATTGCAAGAGTGGAAGCATTTGCTCCAAGAAGAGTCAGCCTTCTACCACTTGTGAAAAGCAGAAATCAGAGGTCGTAACAAGACAAATGACTTGGCTGACTCTGTAGGCCTTCAAGGGTCATGATGTGATATGGTTTGGCTTTTTCTCAGAGCAGCCATGTTTTATATACATTAAGAAACCATGTACCAACATGCTGGCCTTTTACAGTGGTCTACAGTAAATTTTAGTGTGCGTCCAATCCATACAGATGCCACAACACCATTTTAAAACATACTTGTGGCCTAATTCTGTCTAAAGCGCTTGAGTATAGTAACGGTTGTTGCACAGAGTAGGCCTCCTGCACAGCTACACACATGAATGCCAAAGGAAAAAATATATGAACACAATGGTTATTAGCTTGACTTCAACTCTGAATGCAGGGCAGAGGCCCTGGAGGAGTCAGAACATAATGTGCAGAGAAGCCCCTGCTGCAAGCACAGGTTTCCTTGATTTTTTTTTTTTTTTTCCCCCCCTCCCACAGTTACCTCAACAAAATCTCATCACATGCTCCTCAGGGCTTTTTGCTTTCTAAGTCCATCTTGTCTAAGCCATAACAGAAAGACCAGGTGAGCTCCAGACCAGTGCCGTAGCAAGGGGGATGAGCTGGGTGACTGCTCCAGGTGCCAAAGTGAAGGGACGCCAACAGGCGCTGTCCAGCCGGGATGGGGCACGGGATGGAGCCGGGAACGGGCACAGGGGAAAGGTGACTCCCACCGCTGCATGCACTCTCGTGCAAGCATGGGCAGGGGTGCCCCCCCAGATCTGTGCACGGGGTGAGGGAGGGCTGCCACTGCAGGCTTTGCCCCAGGCACCAAACTTTGTTGCTACAGCACTGCTCCAGACACTGAACCAGACAGCAGCATCAGCAGACACTTCCTCTGGCAAGGTGATGCAGTGTTGCTGTCAGAGGGGGTTTCTCCCAAGACAGCAATTGTGCTACACAAGTTTCAGTAATGGGTGAGTAATCCAAGCACAGAGCTCCCAGCTTGGGCAGGTGGATATTTTTACCTCTTGATTGCCCAAGATTTGGAACCATCTTGGATCACGAGCAGCAAGGACCTTTTTAATGCAATGTTACATGAAAGATGCTATGGAGGGCACTGATAGATCTCCAACAGAGTGCATTATGGACCGTTTAGATTTGGTCCTAGAACCTCACAGTAAGGTGAATAGTACTATATCAATTTTACAGATAACAGGGGCTCAAATAAGTTCTGTGACAATACAAAGGTCTCACACAGTGAATCAGCAGAACGGCCACGACCAGAACCCCAGAGTTCCTGGTTCTGGTCCCTTGTTTTTTACACTGGAGTTAAGCTCCTCGTAAAAATTCAGGGAACAGTGTAATAAAGTGCCTGGCAAAATGAAAAGGAAAGCAATTTGAGCATTACGCTAAATAAATCAGTAATAACCAGGATCTCTCCTCCTAATTATTGTAAGAAAATGAATGAGAGGTCTTGGGGCTACTAGAAGACATCTTAGATCTCTAATATTTTCTAAAGCCACAGGTAAAATTACTTAAAGAAATCAGCTGATTACCTGCTAAGAGGAAAAACAAGGTGGCTAACAAACACTTACTAGTTCAATAATTAATAAATCTGAGAATGTCTGTGGATTACATTTTTTTTTTGGCGGGGGGGTGTTTTTTTTTTTTTGGGGGGGGGGGGGGGTGTTTGGCCTACAGTCAACACATACCAAGAGCCCAGCCAAAGAAAGAATTAGGACACAAATTTGGCTGAGACATTTACTTTGGAAAGTGCTCCCAACAGCCAAACCTGCAGGTGAAATTTTGCAATGCAAGTGTGGTTGCCCAACATTAGCACTGCCTACACGTTTCACTGATGCACCAAACCCAACGTACAGGCATGGCTTGTTCAGTGGATTTTCATCACGACAGGTTTTTTTTCCTTTTAAAAAAATCTTCATTTAACCTTTCCATGTCAAATATGGATTACTAATATAAGAAAATAAGATTGTTTTTGAAAGAGCTTAGCTACAGAGGAAATTCAGAAACTCCTCAAATCCACCTTTGTGCAACTAAATCAAAGATGTTGGGTACATTTTTAAAGCTCCTTCCATACTCTTGAAAACTTGAGCCCTCTAATGTACCATATTGTCTCTTAGACTGACTGAGTACAGAAATTTTATGCTGTATTCACAGTGAAGAGCTCTTCTTCCATCTCCGACTACTTAACTTCTATGAATATCAACCCGGAGCAATGAGCTGTGAACCAGAACTTCCCCACAGAAGTTTCACTGCCGATTTCTAGTTCTGTTTTGTCTTTCAGATGGATCTGTCCTCCACATAAAAAGGGCTGGGAATATTGCAGCCAAGCACATAGGGATTTTATTAATATAAACTGAGAATGTTTCTCTGGGACTGGAATTAGAAACAGCATTTCTTGAACACTGCCAGCATGCTGCAGGCAAACAAAAGGGAAAATGAGAGAGAGCAGCATCCTAAGGCTTGTTCTTCATTGTCCCTAATTGTACCTAACCCCTACTTTCCCCACCCCCAGCACGAGACAAAAAAAACTTGGCTTGCTTTATGTTACTATGGCCATCGTAACATCTGCCAGTTGAAGATGGCAGCAGCTCACGATGGACTCTTTTCCTCTGCAGCTGGCCTTTCAATCAGGAAGTGTTCTGCCAAGCAGCTCTCTCCAGCTCTTAGGAAGATGCCAAGACCGGGATCTTTTCTCCTGTTCTCCCTTCCACCAAGATCTGGAAACTCTGGCAACTAAGTAGCTATGACTTCAGACTCATAACATCTGCAAATCTAAAAAAGAACCAGCAGGAAGAACTAGACATTTAATGTGCACTTTTCTACCATCAATGCAGGCCCCTGCCTCACAAACCCAAGCTATCTGTCATACCAAAATT